TCCACATGGATGCGCGACCATGGTTTTTCTGGCTGTGGCCAAGGCTGAGGTGACTGTCGGTTGGGTAACTTCTGGGCAGCTGCGCAACGGAAACAACTCCGACATAACTGCTCAATGTGCTCATCCATACCGGGCCAGTAGACATAGCTGCGAGCAAGAGCCTTCATTCGGCTTATTCCTGGATGTCCACTGTGGAACTGTGCTAGGACCCGTTGACGAAGTTCAATGGGAATGACAATTCGGTCACCAAAGGGAAGACAGCCATTGACAACAGATAATGAACTCCGTCGCTGGAAAAGTTTCCGGAGTTCCCCTGGTGGACTGGTTGTTGGCCAGCTTGCTTGGTGGTACTCCATTGCCTTTTGTAATATGCTGTCATTTTTGGTGGCATCTCGCACCGCGTCAGAAGTTACGGTTAGTTGGTTCATGGTCTCCAACACCACAGCACGGATTTCCGGTCCTGATTGGCTTCGTTTGCTTCGTGACCTCCGGGGTTGACTGCCTCTTTGACTAGCTTTCCGCGCCCGGCACTGGCTTTCCTTGTGCCCACGTCGATTGCAAAATGAACATTTGTGCTTTTTATACGGACACAATCGCACAAACGGCCATTCGCCGCGTTGCCAGCATGCTGAAGGAGGCTTTGCTCCATTCGACTTTGTCACCACAGGAGGTTGCTTCGATGCCACCTTGGCAATGCTGAAAGCAGGGTTGGATAAGGGCTTCTCCAAAATGGCCGACCAACGGCAGTCCTTCGGATGCATACGTCTTCCACCTGCCAACACCCCATGCCTGAAAAATACACAACCAGCATTGAAAGATTATGTTTACCTTATCTGTGGCATCGGTACTGACATAATGGTTGGTCACTCCAGTTCTCAGTTTTTCACCCGGTAGGGTTTCTGAAAAATGTGTAATCGCTTACGACTCGTACACGTCTTCCGCGATACCTAGCACACACGCAACGACGGATTGCCCTCTCTAGACTTAACCCTATCCCTTACTCGTTCCATTACATGCAACTGCGAACAAACTCACGTTTAATTCTGACCGTAATCTTCTGATCATGCCACATGTTGGAATGAACAACACCATGATTACGTGACACTGTGGGTACAAAGTACACGCCAAACGACATAATTATCATCATCACTGGTGGAAGAGCAAGAGATGCTAACGGACTCACCGAATACACATGATATGACACCTCAGACGCGACTGGTTTCGCAAGTTTCCACGCTTTTCTTTCGGCTGTGACAGTTCCATTCTGAAGTCAACTCATCGTACAAACACGCAGCAACACAAGATATCACTGATATTATGTTTCCGCGAGCTCTCAGCTACCTAAGATATCTCTGATATCATGTTTCCGCGAGCTCTCAGCTACCTTAACTGCGTACAGTCTAGTCAATGCCAGTCCCTAATAATCCCATATGCTAGCTCCAGTTCGCATCTATCGCATACCCGAGTACCGACTAACGCTTTTAAACTGGGCAGTAACTTACTATTGGAGCAGTTAGGAATTGTGATGATTCTTGACTGTCTGTTATTTCGGGAGACATTCTAAATCATATCAAAATGCTTTCTAGCAAAACTTCCGGACATTTATCCTATTTTCAGTCCCAAATATAGGCATGGCTGTCTTATTACCTCACTTGAATAGCAGCAATCAACCACCACGAACCCTCGATAGACCCAAGAATATCGTAACTGCAATGAAACCCATAAACGGATCATCCAAGATGTCTATGTACGGGGCCATCCACGAACCCTTATTATTAGAGCGGACTTCCAGATACCTTCCGCATGCACGTCTGACAGGCTGTTGAATAGGCCAGCCAAGTTGTATGTTCAGGATGCATGGATATAAGCCCAAAATCGCAAATGCAACGAAGTGGTGTACAGATGGTTTCCCGCCTCCAATCAGTTGCCAAAAGACAAGTCAAGAGCTCCTTGATTCGTTTCCATTAGACCGTCGGCACCCGCATATTGGCCTGATACTCACGCCTTGTTTGGGCTAGGTGTCTCAGATAGGGGTTCCTACCTTTGAAACCACCGACTCGTGACGGAACGCGCAAGAAACGTCTCAAGATTAAGGTGCGGACGTTCACAAGATAATAATTTTTATCATCTTGGATGTTCTTGGGTAGAATAACCCTCCGCTGACAGTTGTTCCCGTTGAATCTAGGATCCAATTTAACCTAATTTTAGATGCTATTTTGTGTACCCTAGCGCCGACAAGCTTGCTGTCGAAAACTCAGAATTAGATGGCCAAAAAGAGGCCCCTTTTCGCCAGCGTTTCCCGATGATCCGAAGCCGCAGAAAAACAAGCAAAACTTGCTTCTGGCGCTTAAGTAAAAACAATGATCTTGCATACTAATAGGTGAACTCGTGACCCCAAACAATGTTCCCGAAAGTTTGACCTTGCTCTCACAAGTAGCTATAGACAATCGAGTTTCGTAATCATTCCCGTGAGCCGTTATACTTCACATATTGATAAAGCTCATCATCAAACGTGGCGGAGGCTCACTTCACTCCTTGGTTTTTCAGATACTAGGTTCGGCTCAGTCACTAGAGCGGATGACCTCATGAACTTATTCCACCTTTGTTTTCATGTCACCTTGTGCGCAAAATTTCCGAGCCCGATAATTCGAACTGTCCCGTGAAATTAAAAAAAAACCAACCTGAGGAACTCCTTTGCCCCACAAAGTTACTTGAATAGGCACTGTTCATGAAATTATTTATCGAAACTTTATGACTCCGAAGACACTGTGAAGTTCCCGGGATATTGAGCCTCTCCAGTGTTCCGTAGCAAACCTCCCTAGGTTTTGTTATTGATCCCCACAGTGCTTCTGGAACCAAATCATCCTGGGAGATGGCTACGGGATGCTGAATGAGGAAAACTTAAGCCCAGTATACTTCTGAACTGAAGAAAGGCTGGGATCGTTTGCGCGCCACAACTGTTTGAATAAATCAATAGATGGTGTCAGCTGATTGACATGGCTGCCAAACGGATAAGCAAGGTATCTGGTCCTTTAGAGACGTCTAACATACCAACTCAAGGAGTTACAAGATCTCGGCAGAGATCCACCAGCGCAGTGTTCCGCAGGCCCGGTTTCGAATGATTGTAAGTTAATTTCTTGTTACCGTCACTCAAAATTTTAAGTATTCCACTGGCAAGCAACTATTATTGGACCGGTATGTTGTATCGCGCGCCTAATTCTTTATGCGTAGTCCGAAAGCTGCTACGAAGGAGGTGTCTTCTTCCTTAACATCAGTTTCCCAACCGATTACCCCTTCAAACCGCCCAAGGTAACACCTGTGGTTTTACGACTCATCAGTAGGTGACCTTCACCACCCGGATTTACCACCCGAATATAAATTCTGAGGGCTCTATTTGCTTAGATATTCTTCGCAGTCAGTGGTCACCTGCTCTCACCGTGGCGAAAGGTATGTTCACACCTACAGATGACAAGTTAACTCCGTGCAGTGTTACTCTCCATATGTTCTCTACTCACTGACCCAAATCCAGATGACCCACTTTGTCCCGACATTGCTCGACAGTACAAATGTGACCGGAAAAAGTACGAGGAGGTGGCACGGGAGTGGACACAAAAGTACGCCATGTGACGAACCTCGTGTGTTGTATTCATGGACCTCCACCTAACGTTACTTATCCAATTTTTCTTCTCATTTGTCTTGTGGGAGTATTTCTCCAATGCTAGTTGACAGGTTCGAGCCGCGATTCAGGGGAAATAATGATTAGTAGCATCACTTTGTGATCCTCTCAGCCATGGCACCACGAGTATTTTCTGAAACTTATCTGGTTCAGTGAGCTTCAACTAGGGTTAGGGAATGAGGATGCTTGAGCTGAAAATGGAGTACTGCAGCCCTTTACTGGTCAATCTTTTAACGCGTCAATCTGTCCGCAAAATGAGATACATGTTTCGGAAAAACGCAGTTAGGCATTTTCACAACCATGGACGCAATAGCTCAAGCAAACTCGAATGCTTTACTTGAATTTCACCCGTGGCAAGGTTCATACGATGAGTACACCCTCGAAATATTGGTGGGGAATAATTACTGACGGCGTGATAAAAGGGGTTGCTTTGCGATACCCTACCTACGGCACCAACGTTCGTTCAGCTCAAGCAGAAATCAAATCCTTCTCTAGGCTAGGCGAATCATCTGCTTCTCGGTGACCTGGCTGCGCGTCCTGACTGCTCTACAGATAACTCATGATGAGATTTTTACTCTTTCTCAGGATAGCTTTTGTTGACCCGTCTTTGCTTGTCCGGAATATCGGTGTTGAACACTGATGTCATGCTGTCGATGATGATGCAACCGCACAGCAAATCTAACTCGAACTCTAGTGCTTCCTTACTTAGGACCTGGATATAAGCTTTTTTGGATGGTCCACAGGTGGCCCTTTTGGACTGAGTCAAACGCTGCCCCTGACGTGATGAAACAGACTGTAGTGAGTTACTCGAACTTGAAGTGGGACTCGATGTGAGTGAATATTTGATCAATGCAGCCTCTTCGTGTCTTAAACTCCTTTTGATTTCGACTTTGTTTTTGGGTTCCAGCTGCGTGGAGGCGATACAGGATTGATATGGTGAGAATTGCCACGACGCTCATCTATCGCTTTCTCTTATTGCTCTCNTCTGCCCTGGAAGTGGGAACGATATTGAGTTTTACAGGTCTCCCGGAGATATCTGTGTAATCCGTCATCAATGTACCAGTAATTGTTGCTGGTGACTAACCGCGATCCAGCCACGGGAATGAATGCTGTGGGAGAGCAAAGAATGGGGAGGGGCAGGAACATATTGCGAACATCCTTATGTCTGTATCGAAAACGATCAAGGATAAGGAACGGCGACGTGACAGACACATCTGAACATCATATTAGAATATACTGGAGGATGTCAGTGGGGCTAACTCGACGTTCTCAGCGAACCTCACTAGACGCGAATTCACGATAGGCTAGGGAGAGCTAGGGAGTTCTGCTGGGAGGTAACAGCTTACTTGCCATTGCGTCTTGTACCCCGTCCTGTAAAGCTTCTTATCGCGCAGAAGGAGAATAACGATGAGCTCAACTAAGAAGGCGTGAAGATCCCACAGCACTCAGTGTGATAGTGGCCACTTTCATTTCTCGTCATGACATTTCCCAGCGGGTCTTTCGCCAACACGTCGGGGTTGTAAGCAGTACCGTTTAGTAAACGGTACGCGTTCCAACCTGATGAGTTTCTCCCGCTGTTCCGGTGATTCTGACTCATTACTACCTATTTGGTTAGGCACCATTAAGACCGATTCACACCTGTTATAATGCGAAGGCACCGTTGATCCGACGTTTTGATCCGTTTCATATCATCGGACCAGAGGGATGAAGTTTCGCAATCGTAGAGCAAGACGATCTCACAGTTGACGTGTACACAGTACTTTTCAACCCCAGTGAGATTCATTTCAGGCACTATAAGTGATGCTAGTTTTGTGCGGGTCTTGACGATACATTGACTTATGTCACTGCACATTCAGCTTATGTAGTTGTCCAGGTAAGTAAAGGGTTAATAAACTGAAGTTTCTGAGAGACTCAAAACGACTACTTTGCTAGTGCAGGTCGCACTCGGGAACTGCGGCTCATACCCAAAATTCTATCTACAGTACACACTACTAAACTCATGCAACCAGACGGCGTGGTCCTCGTAGTCCATATCTGTTAGTGTTCCTCCAGATGTGATTTCCACACCAAGATCCTCGGTCCCTTAGAGTGCGCGTTATATCATAATACCAGTGACCCATTGAGAAGGAATGAGGACGAGACAATCCTACTACTAGCTTTCGGAAAAATTCCGAACAGTTCGTTGTAAACCCGTAAAGTACAAGAAATTTGGGAACAGAGAGCGCGGACTGTAGTTAAGAACTTCGGTGGCAATCCTCTTCGCCAGGTTTTTGTAAAGGAACTAACCTGTCTACATTATCAGTGGCTAGTTTGAAGTCGAGGAAAAACGCAGTTATCTTGTACGGCCTTGTTGATTCATTTGAGGTAATGCGATCTAACCGAGGGAACCTCGCTTGTTGCTTTCGGATTCGCACCTCACGTGCTGAGTTAGACATTCCAGTGTTATTGGATCTTATATCCGCCTTATGCTAGGCGGTAGCACGATACTTCTGTGGCTGGAACAGTTATCTCGTCTACCTTTCTGAATAGCGGTTATCATCATGGACAGCACGACATCAGTGTTCAACGCTGACGCTTCTCTGGAGTACAGTCCTGATTTATTTGAAGGCCGTATTGCGAAGAAAAGAATAAAGGTGGATGGCGAAGGGACTTAGTGCTGGCTTACTACAATCATTCCGATGTGTCTACACCTCCAGACTGATCCAGGCAATCTAGATGGAAAGCGACGAGATGAACACCACTGGCGTCGATTAGTACCCATAACTTGCAGCGTCTCCAAGCAACGCAATGGGGATCACGCGGTCTCCATCCTGGGTTGCGAGTAGCAACAGCATCACCCGAATGTTTCGTAATTTCTTTCATACACCTCTGCCAAGTTGGAGGTGGGCCACCTCTCTGAATTGAGCTCGAAAAACAGCACTCCCTTTGGCATACGAAATACATGGTCTAACCAATGCAGCTTCTGGTGTTGGACACACCCTTTCATGGAAATACCTGTTGCACAACCACAGACTCGCTTTCTGGTTGCCTCGTCCGCACCAGCCTACATGAGCCATGGTCCTGAGACAATGATTAAAGAACACCTGAAGACGTCTCAGTTCCGCTGCTCAAACAGACCAGGTCTCACCCATATAATAAAACAGCCCGTGTTGTATCATGATACACTTCTGAGATTCCGGGATATGCTGTATTGATGCCATTGGTGTCTCAAATTAGCAAACGCGACCCGAGTTTTGCAGAATCGTGCGTTGACCTCATCTATTGGACTACTATCGGGACTAATACAACTTCCGAGATGCATTTGACTTTGGTTGGGTTGACTTCTAACGGACCGCACTGTTCTAGGGATTAAATGACGTCCTATATCAAGAGGTGACAGTGGTCATTTTGAAATCCAATGGTTAGCATTTTTGCGCTCGGAAAAATGGTGCCAGGCTTTCAGCGTCCCCTACAACAGTTATCTCCATCTACGAGTAATTTCTCCTAAAGTGAGTGCCTTCAGACTATCACAGTATATCTGCCTAATAGACGACTCAGAAAGTTTTCTGACTGCTAAATTGGAGGTTTGCTTTCCATTTTTACCTGGGGAATTTGGTGGGAGTTCACGGTAGTAACGCAGTCAGTAACTGTATCCGGATTTCAGAAATCCAATAGGTATCAATAAAGTATCAAGGGCGAAGTGCGCAAGAGCAACTTGTTGACCAGGTTGTTTGAAGGTTCGAACATCGAAAGGTGCAGTAAAACCTGAGGGATGGGATCTCATTGTTGAAAGCGGTGGTTTGAATTGTTCAACCAATCCGTTAACAACTGGGCTGTGCGAAACAAAGGTCGTTAGACGGGACGCACGTAAGAGGTAACAATTAAGGATGATGGGAAGCATCAACGGTTACGTGTTTCCGTTTATCCACTTTGCTGTGTGCAGCGAATAAGACTATCCGGATGATGTCACCACGCAACGACTGGTGTTCCGGTAAAGGTAATTCTGCGCAATTTTTTGGTTACATGTGGGCTGAGATACTTCCAGGACACGCAAACCTAGACGAGAACTCAATTGTGGTCCTATCTTATGTTGAAAGAACACAGTCGAGTTCCATCAACTATTCGTCATTGGGCTTCGTCTTCGACCATATCCCAAAGAATGTTTCGTTTGGTATCGCCTGAAGCCCCGGGACGTCACCACTAATCAGGAGTAAATCACGGCTAAGGTTCGGTGGACTGTCTGTTGAAATCAGTCACAGAATTCGTCTTAATTAGTGACACGCAACGTTGTAATGGTGGCATAGGCGGTTTTTCGACTTGGGCCGCCACGGTTCTGGGAGATATAAGTTTTCGGCAGAGCGACGCTGCTGGAGTCGAATGAAAGCCAGATTTGTCATTCGCTAGTAATACAGGCTGTGTGTTGTAACACATGTCTAGCCTCCCGAATGTTCCGGACATTCTGGTAGCCAGTTAACGATGGGTTCCTCTTCTAAAGTACGCAGATTGATGCTTGGTCACCCCGTGCGCTCGACCATCAGAGGGTGGGTCTCCTACCTGGAACACCGTCGCGTGAACGGACTGTTTTCAATGCGGCATTATGGAGTCACTTGGGAATGTTTCTCAGAGCTGCGTCCCCAGCGTCATCTGGCTCCTACTCGAGGGGGTGCCTGTGAATTTAAAACCACGTAACTCGCGGAAAATAGCTGTGAACATCCGTTAGATTTTCAAAGTAACCTCACCCGTCTAATCCAGATTGTGTCCTCGCCACGGCTGGTTTGGATTAAGAGCATAGCCAGGTCCCCTACGGGGACGCCTGGTAGACCAGGATAGAATGCCAACCTCTCAGTACCGTCCTTCCAATTCAGTGGCGATGCCATCACAGGGAGAACACGGTAAATGGAACTTCCTTATTAGAGGCTACATAGTGGCGAGTCCATGAAGTGTTTCAGGGGCGCAGAAGGTTACAGCCGCT